CATTTGTGTGGACTCACGAGTGTGAGGCGTGCTTCCAGGAGTTGAAGGAGAGATTGACTTCTTCACCTGTGTTGATCCTTCCTGATCCTGAGGAGCAGTTTGAGCTTTACTGTGATGCTTCTGGAAAAGGGCTGGGCTGTGTGCTGATGCAGTCTGGTAGAGCTGTTGCTTTTGCTTCGAGGCAGTTAAAGCCTCATGAGGAGAACTACCCAACTCATGATTTGGAGTTGACTGCGATTGTGTTTGCTTTCAAGATTTGGAGGCATTATCTTTTTGGTTTGAGGTTTGTGGTGTTCAGTGACCACAAGAGTTTGAAGTACCTGTTCGACCAGAAGGAGTTGAACATGAGGCAGAGGAGATGGATGGAGTTCATAAAGGACTACGACTTTGAGCTAAGGTATCATCCTGGCAAGGCCAATGTGGTAGCTGAGGCTTTAAGTCGGAAATCCAGTAGTTCATCCAGTTTGCTACTTGGTAACTTCGATGTGGTTGAGAAGTTCCGCCACTTGGCAGTGACCGCTCCGTGTGTGAGCGTACTTCTCGGGTTGGAAGCATCAGATGTTGTGAACAAGCTGCTAGAAAAGATTAAAGAGGCACAAGTTCAGAGAGAGTGTCTGGATTATGTGAAGAACCAAGACGGTGTGTCTTGGAATGATGATGGATTGCTTTTGTTCCAGCGGAGGATTGTGGTTCCTCGAGGTCCGTTGATAGAAGAGGTTATGGCAGAAGGCCATAAGGGTCAGTTTTCTATCCACCCTGGTGCTACTGAGATGTATCAAGACTTGAAGAAGAACTTCTGGTGGCCGGGCATGAAGAAAGATGTTGCTATCTTTGTGTCCAAGTGTTTGGTTTGCCAGAAGGTGAAGATTGAACACCAGAAGCCGTCTGGTAAACTTCAACCTCTTGAGATTCCGGAGTGGAAATAGGAGAGCATTTCCATGGACTTCGTTGTGGGTTTGCCGAAGACTCAGGTTGGTTGTGACTCGATATGGGTCATTGTGGACAGACTGACGAAGTCTGCCTATTTCTTTCCAGTGAAGGTGAGCTTCACTACATAGCAGTTAGCCAGACTGTATGTTCGCGAGATTGTGAGGCTTCACGGGGTGCCCGTGAGTATCATCAGTGATAGGGAGCCGAAGTTCACATCTCGGTTCTGGGAGGCGCTGAGGGAGCTTTTGGTACACAGTTGAGATTGAGTACCACCTATCACCCTCAGACTGATGGACAGACTGAGCGGACTATCCAGACCTTAGAGGACATGTTGCGGGCTTGCACGTTGGAGCAGGGCTCGACATGGGATAGGTACCTTCCATTGGTAGAGTTTTCGTATAACAACAGTTTTCATGCTAGCCTGGGCATGGCACCTTACGAGGCGCTCTACGGTAGGAGGTGTCGTACACCTACCTGCTGGTCGGAGGTTAGGGATCGTGAGTTGTTTGGCTTGGACTTTGTCCAAGATATCACCTTGCAGATCCAGATGATCAGGGAAAAGCTGAAGCAGGCGCAGAATCGTCAGAAGAGCTACTACGATGTCAAGCATCGACCACTGGAGTTCAGTGAGGGTGAGCATGTGTTTGTGAGACTTTCACCTGTCACCGGTGTTGGACGGGCACTCGGAGTGAGGAAGCTGAGCCCGCGGTTTATTGGGCCATACCAGATTCTTGGTAGAGTAGGACCTGTTGCCTACCGGCTTGCCTTGCCTCTGAACCTGGCAAACATCCACGACGTGTTTCACGTGTCTCAGCTTCAGAGGTACATAGCAGATCTGTCGCACGTGGTGCAACCGGATGATGTGGAAGTTCAGGAGAACTTAAAGACTCCCGTAGGACCACTAAAGATTCTCGATCGTGGCGAGAAGCAGCTGAGGAGCAAGATCATTCCGATGGTCAAGGTGAGTGGACCGGAAGGACTCCTGAGGAGTGTACTTGGGAGCGTGAGGACGAGCTTCTCCGGCAGTACCCCGAGTTTCGACCAGGTATGTTTCTGATTTTGAGGTCAAAATCCTAAAAAGGTGGGGTGAATGTAAGAACCCGCACCGTTAATTAAGGAATTTAATTAATAAATTATGAGAAAATAGGAAATGATTCCATAATTGACCCTAATAATTATTTATGAGGCTTAATAATCGTAATAAGTGATTAAGAATACTGAAAGTCGCTTTTCGGAAGAAAAATGCAAATACCGGTTCTGCTAGTCGGTATAAATGCGTGCCGAAAAAGTATCCCGGAAAATTAATGTAAGTGCATGATAATTACTAGAATAATATGTAGGACTTGTAAAACGAGTTTCAAGTCCAGATAATGAGAACTGGTGCTGGAAACCGGTACTGGCTTGGAAAAGCGCGTACCGAAAAAGTGCTCAGAAAATTATAAGAAAAATATGATAAATCTTAGAAAATTATGTAGTTTCATAATCCAAAGTTTGGGATTAAAATGCTAAGCGTAGCAATTAAAGTTAATACTGTGTGTTTAAGTGTGTTTGGGCTATAAATACCCTTGTTAAGGGCACAAAGCCCTAGGTTTTCTGTTGCTACGTGAATACTGGAGTGGCTGGTCAGTTGCTACTGTTCCATTGAGCTTTCTTCACCATTTTGGAGATAAAGTGTCAATTTTGCTTGGTTTCTTCACCTCCAAACACTTGAGCCTTGTGTGAGTGACCTTTGTGAGTGTGTAGGGAGTTGTGGTTCTGAGTTGAAGGACTGCTTGAAGTCAGTTTGTGGGCTGAGTGGTCTTGTGTGAGGGTGAGAGCTTCCTACTTGGCTTGTGAAGCTTCAAGAAGCTTCTTTGTGAAGAAAGGACCAACCTTTGTGTTGCATTTTCGTACACCTTATTTCCAGAACCTGTAGAGGCAGTGTGGTGAGCTCCTTGAGCCATTGATCCTCTGTTTTGAGCTTTGGTGAGTTGTACCTACCTTGAGCTTGTGTTTTAATGGATTAAAGGTGTGATCTTTGCATGTTTAAAGGATTAATCAAGTAACCAACTGGGGTGTGGACCTTAATCAGTATAAAGATGCATGCTTTAACGTAAGTAAGTGTTAAAAATGGAACCTTGGAAGGATATCTTCACGAAATGCATTTCTGCATTCTGTCGTGAAATATCCAGATATGTTACCGATGAATATCCGGATATGTGATATCCGGATATGGGTTTTGTGTATCCGGATAATAGATATCCGGATATGGGATTCTGGATATCCGGATATTACATATCCGGATATGTCCAGTGAGATATCCGGATATTGAATATCCGGATATGGTCCCGAGGAATATCCGGATATTCTGGGATTTCGTAGAACAGTAGCTGTGCTGTGTGTACAGTAGGCTACTGGGGTTTGTGGACCCTAGATTGATGAAGTTGAACTTCTGTAATTAATGAACTAAGTCAGAATTAAGTGATTAAGGACTTATGGCTTGGTACTAAGATATATTCGTATATCTCACCCCGTCTCGGGGCATTTATTTCAGGAGGTAGCATTGGAGCCGGAGCAGCGGGCAATAGGCCCGCAGAGTGAGCCGTGGAGTGCTTCACATTTTGCATTTTGTTGGCCGTGTGGCCTAGGCTAGACTTAGGGCATGGACATCTCATATGTATGTAGTATGAGCTTCATTAGCATATTTGTTCATGCCATTTTGCCTAAGTCTAGTAGTTATGTATTTGGTTATGTTGTCATTTGAATTTAAGTTGTAATATTGGAAGAATGTAAGTTGAAGTTAAGTTTCAAGTTGTAAGTTGTAAAGCAATATTGTAATCGTATTGATGCATGACTATTTATGATGGAAGGGCATTAGGCCTATTTTAGGGTATAATTACATGTATGATGAAAATATGCATGAAAAAGGTATTAGTGATTGCAACTACTTAAGGATGATTAATATGAACTATATGCCTAATAACTATAAACTGGATTGGGTTGTAAGTGCCCCAAGGCGTTGTTGGTTCTTGTGTATGCCACCCATTGGATTATTAATGTATTATCATGTGATTATTAGGTACATTTGAGGTTTAAATGATTCTTACAAATTTCGGATTATTGGAAAAACAAAGGAAACTCTGGCGAAATTTCTGTAGAATTGGCAGATTTTAGGCGAACTTCGGGAGAGCATATCTCCCTCCATAGAAATCCAATAGGGACGTGCCATACGCCATTTTAAAGGTTGAGATGTCCTCTACCCTGTGTCAAAATATGAGGAAAATCTGCATTGATTTTCGGTTTGAAAAAAATGGAGAAACACGGACTGCTCATGTGCCACTGCACCTGAGGCAGATTCTGGACCGGATTTGGGAAATTAATTCCTGCTTTGTTTCTCAGTCAAATAAAGTGTGTGATATATCAAAATGAAGTTTGAGATGTCTAGTTTGTTGGATAAAAATTTGAGAGAAAATGGTTGAATGGATTGAGTGCAGTAATTCGAGGAATGTGAGTGGTTTGGAGCTGTTTTTGGGGTTGGTTGGCTATTTGCTTATCCAACTTCAAACGGCGATAATCAGAGCTAATGAGCTCCGAATTGAGCATGTGATAGCTTGTTAAAAAGGGAATTAAGTAAGAAAAAAATGTAATCTGAGAAGAAGGTTTGGTTGCGAGCGGTGAGATCGCAGAAAAATTAAGAGTGAAACATGTCCGAATTAGTAAAAACGTAAAGTTTGGAAATAGGCTAAGTGAGTTTATGTGAATTCCTTAGTAACTTCTAATAAGTAATGTAAGTTATAAAAATAGTTTAAGTAAGTCTTCCACAAGAGTTACGGTTACGGTCACAACTTTTAATTTTTACGCCTTTTTATGTTTTAAATACTCGCGTAATAATCGGAAAAAGTTTATTCGCATTTTTATAAATGAACTGCTGTGATTGTAACTGCGCTTAATATCATAATTAATGTTAACAATACCGGTGTACAACGGGCTGTTACACTCGTTGCTTAAGCTTTCGGGTATTTAACCCTCCAATTGATTGTTCGATAAATGAAACACTCTGAAATCTCTCTGTTGAAATTCTGGTATGTTGCCTTCAAATCTATTTCCATGCAAGTTCACTTCCAAAAGCCCAGGCAAATTAGCAAGGGATGTAGGAATATGACCCGTGAATCCGTTTTCTACCAAGAATACTCTCTTCAGGGGTCCCATCCCATCAAAAGCATCGTCAAGAATATCACCAGAGAATTTGTTATTGCTCAGAAACAATGCCCTTAAACTCTCAAGCTTCTTGAATGCATGCATTGGACCCTCAAAGCTATTGTTAATGACACTAAAACTGTTGAAATTGGACAATTCCAGCAGGGTGTCTACATTAATCAAGCCACTTAGTCCCATATTCTCTAGTCTCAATCCATGAAATGTCTGATTGAAGCATAATATACCATTCCAGCCACACAGACTTATAGACTCATTCCAGTTCTTTAAAGCATCAGAATTTGAGCGTTTGTGTCACCCAAAGATGGCAAAAAACAAGTGGCCAACATGAACAACATGAAAAGACTGCAGAGTTCTCTTTTATGAGACATAATTGGATAGATGAAAACTGAGATGATGTGTTTAGGCTAATGAGGTACGTAGAAAATAGAGAGAATAAGAGAAAAAAGAAGATCAGGAATATTGAGAAACGATAGAGAGTATGCATACGAAAGTAAGATTGAATGATTTATGGGGTAACATTGACAAGGTCATTCCTGCAAAGCATAAGCTGGTTGGGCGGGCCATATATATGAGTGTTTTGGACCTCATTTTCGACAGACGGATTTTGTAACACCTCGTATATATATCCGGTAATGTTATCATAATATCGTATTAAGCTGCGCTTAATTAAAATGCGGAATTACTTTTTCTTTTCAATTATGATGTCATTAACATTACCAACTTGCTTAATAATCAATTAATAAAACATCGCCTGTATGTAATTGCAATAAAACAGCTAACTGAAATACCTCATTACATAGATAACATAAGTGTGGCTCTAGTCACGGAACTACAACAACGTAGACCGGACCAAACTACAAGTACTAACAGAAAGTGTCATGGACAATCCCAATGCTCACTCAAATAAGGCAACATGCCCAACATCAGTCTCAACAACAACATATCATAAATAGCGGAAAACATAAACAACATCCAAATCCAGTCATGCTAACATATAAGCAGAAACAACAAAATCAGCTAAGCTCCGGCCTCCCGCCGCCTGAGGCATCAGTACCCATACTACCTGATCCTGAAATAAGCATTCCCCAAATGTGGGGTAAGATCTCTAATCTAGAAATCTCAGTAAGTCAGTGAGTCCTCAAGGATCTTCCACCCCAAGCTCACTTACATGTGCAATAAAAGTTCAAAAGCAGTTTATCATTTATCATTTCAAAAACAATGCAATGCAGCAGATAATCATGTCATGTGTGTCAATACTAATCTACTGGCCAGAGACAGTGCAGGTATACGTCTATCACCTACACACCGTGCAAGTACCACTTGCATTCACCCTGGTACACCATCTTGTATGGCGCTACATACTCAGGCTTCCCGTCAAGATGAAACAACACATGCATATTAAAAGCCATTACATGTAAAGTTCAATCAACATATCAAATATCCAAAAGCATGTACACAGCATGCATAAACCATACCCCCATGGGACATGGTGGAACCACAACATGGCTAAACCGAGGACACGAAAGCTTACCTTGCAAGCTAACTCCAAAAGCCAAGAGTCCACAGCTCAAAGTCCAAACACAGCAGATTCACAATTTGTTATGGACCAATATTATATCAATAATAATGCAACACAAGCATATAACTTAAAGACAACGCCTTTCCTTACGTTTTACGTCTTAAGACTCCATACCAAGCCATAAGTCCTTAATCACTTAATTCTGACTTAGTTCATTAATTACAGAAGTTCAACTTCATCAATCTAGGGTCCACAAACCCCTAATAGCCTACTAAACACACAGCACAGCTACTGCTCTACGAAATCCCAGAATATTCGGATATTCCTCGGGACCATATCCGGATATGCAATATCCGGATATCCATAATCCCATATCCGGATACCTAGTATCCGGATACACAAAACCCATATCCGGATATCACATATCCGGATATTCATCGGGCACATATCCGGATATTTCACGACAGAATGCAGAAAATGCTTTTCGTGAAGATATCCTTCCAAGGTTGGGTTTTTAACGATTTAAAGCACCTAAACATGCATTTCTAGGTGTGTTCAACATTACCCACAACAAGTTATCATCTTTACGCCTTAACATGCATCAAGCTTTCATTTTTAAGCATTAAACGCATGATCAAAGGTTGGCATACATACCAAAGGCTTAAAACAGAGAAATGAGATGCTCTTGGAGCTCAACACAGCCCCTCAAGTCTGACTCAAGGAAGATGCACGAAAATGCTACCAAAGCTTGGCCCTTTCCACACAAAGGAAGCTCCTTGGAGCTTCACAAGCCAAGAGCAAGACTCTCACCACATCAACTCAAGAGGACAGCCCCTCCAACACTCACAAACAGCAACCCCAACACAGAACAGGGTCAACAACACAGCCCCAAAGCTACTCTCACCCCACACCAAGTGTTTAGGAGAAGGATTTGAGAAGGAAGTTGCCTCGAAGCTCAAGAAATGGAAGAGGAACACAATGGAACAGTACTCAGAAGTTGGCCAGCCCCAAGACTCACGTAGCAACAGAAAACCTAGGGCTTTGTGCCCTTAACAATGGTATTTATAGCCACTTACCCAATTAACACATAGTATTAACTTTAGTTGCTACGCTTAGCATTTTAATCCCAAACTTTGGATTATGAAACTTCATAATTTTATAAGATTTATCATATTTTTCTTATAATTTTCTGAGCACTTTTCCGGTACGCGCTTTTCCAAGCCAGTACCGATTTCCAGCACCAGTTCTCATTATCTGGACTAGAAACTTGATTTACAAGTCCTACATATTATTCTAGTAATTATCATGCACTTACATTAATTTTCCGGGATACTTTTTCGGCACGCATTTATACCGACTAGCAGAACCGGTATCTGCACTTTTCTTCCGAAAAGCGACTTTCCGCATTCTTAATCACTTATTACGATTATTAAGCCTCATAAATAATTATTAGGGTCAATTATGGAATCATTTCCTATTTTCTCGTAATTTATTAATTAAATACCTTAATTAACGGTGCGGGTTCTTACATTCACCCCACCTTTTTAGGATTTTGACCTCAAAATCAGAAACATACCTGGTCGAAACTCGGGGTACTGCCGGAGAAGCTCGTCCTCTCTCTCCCAAGTACACTCCTCAGGAGTCCTTCCGGTCCACTGCACCTTGACCATCGGAATGATCTTGCTCCTCAGCTGCTTCTCGCCACGATCGAGAATCTTTAGTGGTCCTACGGGAGTCTTTAAGTTCTCCCGAACTTCCACATCATCCGGTTGCACCACGTGCGAAGGATCTGCTATGTACCTCCGAAGCTGAGACACGTGAAACACGTCGTGGATGTTGGCCATGTTCGGAGGCAAGGCAAGCCGGTAGGCAACAGGTCCTACTCTACCAAGAATCTGGTATGGCCCAATAAACCGCGGGCTCAGCTTCCTCACTCCGAGTGCTCGTCCAACACAGGTGACAGGTGAAAGTCTCACAAACACGTGCTCACCCTCACTGAACTCCAGTGGACGATGCTTGACATCGTAGTAGCTCTTCTGACGATTCTGCGCCTGCTTCAGCTTTTCCCTGATCATCTGGATCTGCAGGGTGGTATCTTGGACAAAATCCAAGCCAAACAACTCACGATCTCCAACCTCCGACCAGCAGGTAGGTGTACGACACCTCCTACCGTAGAGCGCCTCGTAGGGTGCCATGCCCAGGCTAGCATGGAAACTGTTGTTATACGAAAACTCCACCAATGGAAGGTACCTATCCCATGCCGAGCCCTGCTCCAACGTGCAAGCCCGCAACATGTCCTCCAAGGTCTGGATAGTCCGCTCAGTCTGTCCATCAGTCTGAGGGTGATGGGCGGTACTCAATCTCAACTGCGTACCAAAAGCTCCCTGCAGCGCCTCCCAGAACCGAGATGTGAACTTCGGGTCCCTATCACTGATGATACTCACGGGCACCCCGTGAAGCCTCACAATCTTGCGAACATACAATCTGGCCAACTGCTCTGTAGTGAAGCTCACCTTCACTGGAAGAAAATGGGCAGACTTCGTCAGTCTGTCCACAATGACCCATATCGAGTCACAGCCAACCTGAGTCTTCGGCAAACCCACAACGAAGTCCATGGAAATGCTCTCCCATTTCCACTCCGGAATCTCAAGAGGTTGAAGTTTACCAGACGGCTTCTGGTGTTCAATCTTCACTTTCTGGCAAACCAAACACTTGGACACAAAGATAGCAACATCTTTCTTCATGCCCGGCCACTAGAAGTTCTTCTTCAAGTCTTGATACATCTTAGTAGCACCAGGGTGGATAGAAAACTGACCCTTATGGCCTTCTGCCATAATCTCTTCTATCAACGGACCTCGAGGAACCACAATCCTCTGCTGGAATAAAAGCAATCCATCATCATTCCAAGAAACACTGTCTTGGTTCTTCACATAATCCAGACACTCTCTCTGAACTTGTGCCTCTTTAATCTTTTCTAACAGCTCGTTGATGACATCTGATGCTTCCAACCCGAGAAGTACGCTCGCACACGGAGCGGTCACTGCCAAGTGGCGGAACTTCTCAACCACGTCGAAGTTACCAAGTAGCAAACTGGATGAACTACTGGATTTTCGACTCAAAGCATCGGATACCACATTGGCCTTGCCAGGATGATACCTAAGCTCAAAGTCGTAGTCCTTTATGAACTCCATCCATCTCCTCTGCCTCATGTTCAACTCCTTCTGGTCGAACAGGTACTTCAAACTCTTGTGGTCACTGAACACCACAAACCTCAAACCAAAAAGATAATGCCTCCAAATCTTGAAAGCAAACACAATCGCAGCCAACTCTAAATCATGAGTCGGGTAGTTCTCCTCATGAGGCTTCAACTGCCTCGAAGCAAAAGCAACACCTCTACCAGACTGCATCAGCACACAGCCCAGCCCCTTTCTAGAAGCATCACAGTAAAGCTCAAACTGCTCCTCAGGATCAGGAAGGATCAACACTGGTGAAGAAGTCAATCTCTCCTTCAACTCCTGGAAGCACGCCTCACACTCGTGAGTCCACACAAATGGCGTCTCCTTTCGGGTAAGGCGAGTCAAAGGGAGAACCATCTTGGAAAAACCCTTGATGAACCTCCGATAGTAACCTGCCAAACCTAAGAAGCTCCTCAGCTCCG